CTCTCAGTCCACCCATATTCAGGGCAGGGGCTCCCCTGTTCATTTATGTCCTTATATGCCCAGAGGTGTGTCTCCATATTGTCTATAAAATCTGTTCATCTAGCTAACAGAAAAGATTAACCATTAAACCCTTCAGACATTATTAGATGGACTTCCTTGTTTGTGCGGGGACAATATTGGCTACCTCTCAAGATTTCTGTGAGAAGCAGATGCCCAGTAAAGGTTGGGTTCCTTCCTTTGCCTTTTTCCCAAAAGATCCCAAAGAATGAGAAGTCATGGATGCTTGCAGGCCAAGAGGATGATAAGCTGTGTGGCTGTTTGTACATGCTACCTGTGCTGTCCTAGTGACCAGGAACAGAGTTCTTCTCTCTGCACCCTCCCTTTCCTGCAAGCTGACAAATGCTGATGTATGCCTAACTATTTTAGAATTTGCCAGTTGTCAAAAATACCCAGTGCTTAAAAAATATTCAATGATCCAAGTGCCTTTCCTCCAGGTGCCAACGGATCAATCCCTCAATAGACCAGTGAGAGAATCATGTTCCCCTAATGATCTGGGCATTCAGATTTACCTTGTGCTCTTTGAGAGTTTGGGGGATTGATTAGCACTGTTCATCACTCTCCTAACAACCCAATGAAGGGAAGGATGTGACTTGTTCTAAGGCACTAGGAGACTCTGCAGAGAACAAGGGCTTTGGACTTGACTCTTTTCCCCAGCAGCCATTCTTTGTCACTGGGTGAAGGCTCTCAGAGGACAAGGACTACCTTATTCATCTCTCTATTAACAGCATTCAAACATGGCCAGATACCGAACAGGTGCTCATTAAGGACCCATTGAATTCTTGGAGGAATAAAGCTGGTCCCAAAATGGCCTTGGAATATGTCTTGGAAATAGCTAACTACCTATTCCCCCAGGGAAAATGTGTCTGGGGATCAGTCTTAGGTACTGTGATTGCAGCCATGCAAAAACACGTTACATCTCTGGCCTCTGTGGAGCTTAACTTTTTATCTGGGAAGACAAAGAAACAAACTAATATGAATATTTAAAGTGTTATGAAATAGTAATAAATTCTAGACAGGTAAATGCATCTGGTGAGGGGGTGAATAGTATTTTTTCAGGGTTGTGGCAGCTTTTGATATAGATGGTGGTCAGAGAGTGCCCTACAGTTTCTTAATGAAGTGAGGGGAACCAGTCTTGCAGATGTGTTGGGAGAGAAATTGGCAGGCAGATAGAAGCCCTGAATCAGGTCCAAACCAGTCACACTAGTTAGCATATGAAGATTAGTGTGGTTGGATGTGAGGTGAGTCAGGAGGTGTGTGGCTGGATAGGGGCATGGATAAGTTGGAGGTGACATCCCAGGATGATGGAGAAGCATAGGTTGAGTATGGCTTTGCTGATGATAAGGAGCAGATGACATCAGGAAGGCGATGGAGAAACTCAGGTTTCATAGGTTTTTTAATTCCAGCAAAAAGGGAAGCCACTGGGAGATTTTAAGAAGATGAAGACAAGCATCTCAGCTTGACACATGTAGAAAGGCCTCTTTGTCCAGTGATTTCAAGGAGGATAAAATGTGTCTTTTCAGTGAAATTATTACTTTTGAAACTAAGTGCATGGACTTAATGCTATGTATTTATTATTTGTTATTTCTATTGCTTCTTTTGTGAACTCATTTAACCCCTCTTTCCTTTGCTATTATTTTTATTTCATTTGCATGCATGTGTAGTGTGAGTGTGTGTGTGTGTGTGTGTGTGTATGGTGTGTGGTGTGTGTGTGTGTGTGTGTGTGTGTGTATGGTGTGTGTGGTGTGTGTGTGCATGCACGGCACGGGTATGTGTATGTATGTGGGCATAAGCATATGTGAGGATGTGTGCACCTGCCTGTGAGTGCTGAGGCTGCTGTTGACTGCTTTCCTTGGTGGAATCTGGAGCTCACCGAGGCCAGCTATTCTGACTAGTGAGTTTGTTCTAGGAATCTGGTGTCTCTACCTCCTGAGTGCTGGGATTACAGGTTGGCCACCCTGCCCACTTGGCATTTACATCATTTTTATAGGTGCTGGGAATCAAAACTCCCATTCTCATGTATGAATGTCGAGTCCTTTATCAGCTAAGCTACCTCCCCAGCCTTTTTCCTTTACTATTTTTAAATTTTTTATTGGGGTATGTCCATTGTACATAGTGATGGACTCCCATTAAGATAATTTAGTTCAGGTGTAACATACATTTGACCATATTCACTCCCAGATGTCCTTCTCTTTCTCCCTTGTTCCTCCAGCTAGTTTCTTACTCTTCCCCCTCTCCCTGTCTCTTTCTCCCTCTCATGGTTTTGTGCATCTATATGAAGTCTAGGATTCATGAATGCAAGGAAACTTGGTGATTGTCTGAGTCTGGCTTATTTCAAGGAGGAACAGTAGGGGCCCATTGGCCTCAGCCCTGGGAGGGAGCTAGGTCATCCACCGTTCAGGGATTCCTTCCCCTCTCTTCTTGCCCACAGGAGACTGGAGCAGAACTTCTTCAACTGCAGCTGTGACATCCGCTGGATGCAGCTGTGGCAGGAGCAGGGGGGGAGGCCCGGCTGGACAGCCAGAGTCTTTACTGCATCAGTGCTGATGGCTCCCAACTCCCTCTCTTCCGCATGAACATCAGTCAGTGTGGTGAGTGAGCAGCAGCATTGCCTCGTCTGGCCAGCATACACCCCAGAGAAAGGGCTGGGCCTGAGGCTGGCCTGCCAGGGTCTCCTTCCCAGCCATCTCCAGCCTTGACCTCTGCAGTGGGTACGGATCAGACTGACCTTTCCCTTGTTGGTCATAGTTACTGTCTTGAGCCAGCTGCGGGAAGGCTAGCGGGAACGCTGAAAGGAGTCCACAGATCAGATTCCCTTTCTCTCCGAGTCACCTGCCAATCAAACATGAAGTTGCATGTCTTAATGTGCAGCCTCTGGTGTTCCCATACCAGGAGCTTCCCAGCTGTTTTCTAGAGGCCTAGCTCCTATGCCCAACTAGACACTAGAGAATTGAATCCCTAGTTCCCACAGGATCCTGACACACACCAGTTTGTGAGACTCAGTGCCCCAACAGGTTGAAACTCTAGGTTCAGTTGCTGCAATGGCATTCCATGAATAGGTGCAGCACTCACAGCCCGCTGTGTAGAAGTGTATGTGCTTCATTCTGAGGTCTACAGAGGAGGGTCTGTGGACCAGCGCGGGAGGGGGTTGGGATGGGGTTATGGTCATCACTTTTCACATTGATCCTAGAAAAGCAACTTAAAGAAGGGAGAGTTTGTTTGTGGCCCACAGTTTGACAGTACAGCCCACCAGGGCAGGGAAATCAGGCCACCTAGCGAATTCGAGGAGTTGACCACTTTGTATTCACAGTGGGGAAGCAGAGAGGAAGGAATACTGGTGCTTAACTCACTTTTTTCTTTTTACTCAGTTCAGGACCCAGCCTGTAATATGGTGTCTTCCTACTTCAGTTAACTTAACCTAGATATTCCCTCAGGCATGACTCCCTCAGGTGATTCTAGAGCTTGTCAAATTGATAGTAATGGTCAGGAGGTTACTATCACATGAGCTCAAGCAAGTTGTGCTAGAGTTGTCACGGGGCAAGGCAAGAAGGGCTCAGGGGCGAAGCTTCTCTGTGTACTGTTTTCTGACTTTTTCCTCCCTCTCCTCTCCATCCTCCCAGACCTCCCTGAGATCAGTGCTGAGCCACGTCAACCTGACCGTCCGAGAAGGAGACAATGCTGTAATCACTTGCAATGGCTCTGGCTCCCCCTTGCCTGATGTGGATTGGATAGTCACTGGTCTGCAGTCCATCAACACCCACCAGGTAGGCATCATAAGACCAGGGACAGCAAGAATGAAGAACCGGGTCCCCTTAGTTAAAAAGACGAGGGGGGAAATTGTGATCCTTGTCCCTCTGGGAAGAAACCCAGCCTCAGATTCTATCTAGATGTCATGATTTCTTGTCATTTCAGTCTTTGCTGTGGTACTCAACTTTCTGGTACTTTGTTTTTTCTTTAGCAAAAGAAAAATTAAAAAAAAAACAATTTTCCCACTTACTACCTAGTATTAATGTGAGGATCAACTGAATTATAAAGAATCTAGAACATGGTCATGTATCTTCATTAGCTAGATTTCATTCACCCTTTGCTTGATTTCTGGAGGTGTTAGGGGTTAGAAAAGGGAAGCCATTTTTGGACAAATGGTTTGGTTATTATCTTCTGGTTGGGGGTTTTCAGACCAATCTGAACTGGACCAATGTACACGCCATCAACTTGACCCTGGTGAATGTGACAAGCGAGGACAATGGTTTCACCCTGACGTGCATTGCAGAGAACGTGGTGGGCATGAGCAATGCCAGTGTTGCTCTCACTGTCTACTGTAAGTGCATGCCATCATGGACGACAGAGAGGTACCAGGAGGAGGCTGGGGATGGGGGCAGGTCCATTGGTAGGTCCTGATCTAGAACCCCAACCCTAGTCTTTCAACAAAGGCAGTAAGGGTTTCATAAGGCAAAACTGAAAAATAAGTTCTGGGACAATAAACCCAGGAAAGAATTTCTTTGACCCTCAGTGGATGGTATACCTCTGCAATTCAGTTCTACAGTTGGCATCCCTGAAAAGACTCAAGAGGGGAGCTCCAGCTAAGATAGATCTAGGGAGCTTAGATAAAGACATACGTCTCTTCTCCTCTCTTGGCTGGTGGTGGGAACTTGGCTTTACCCAGCCTTTTCAGAGGAGGGTGAGAAGTGGGATCCCATCCTGCTTCCTAGAAGGCTTCTTCAGTGCATAGGAGACTATGTCCTCGAGTTCAGCTTGCTTTTCCCCACAGACCCCCCACGTGTGGTGAGCCTGGTGGAGCCTGAGGTACGCCTGGAGCATTGCATTGAGTTTGTGGTGCGTGGCAACTCCGACACCCACGCTGCACTGGCTGTACAATGGGCAGCCACTGAGGGAGTCCAAGATCATTCACATGGACTACTACCAGGAGTGGTGAGGTCTCTGAGGGGCTGCCTGCTCTTCAACAAGCCCACCCACTACAACAATGGCAACTACACCCTCATTGCTAAGAATGCCCTGGGCACAGCCAATCAGACCATCAATGGACACTTCCTTAAGGAGCCCTTTCCAGGTGAGACATGCACCCATTTCTTCTCGGAGCTGGGGAAGGGGTGCAATTTGAAAGAAGAGGCAGCACTGATGACCACAGTTACCTAACTAACTGAACTCACACTGGGATAGGGGCAGACATCATCTGCACCTTGTGCTAACTAGGATAACCTCCATTTTCCATGGCTACCACAACTACCTCCAGGATTCCACCCCCAAACCTGCTGTACATATAGAGATGTCCTGTTTATAGTAGAGAAACCAGGGATTTTAGAGATGGATAATATGGTAATGAATTTTGACTCAGTGTCTTACCTGAGCATGCTATGTTGGGCTTGACAGTGGGCTTGTCTGAAGCCTCAATGCCATCAGCTGTGAAATAGGCACAAGAGTGACTGCATTGCTCCCCTAAGTGTTTGATGGTTTTTGAATGAGTTAAGATGGAGGCTTGATATGCTATAATAGCTCAGTGATTCTTCATCGCAGTGAACTTCAGAGTTGGTTCAAATCAACCTCACATTTAACAGATCACTCTCTCAAGCTCCAGTCAGCTAGTCAGCAGCAAGGCTTGCCTTGGGAATTGCCTCTTGTTCCATGGTAACTTAGGAGGGAAGTTGCTGATGCTACCAGATACTGATGGTGCAAATGTCACACCCTGACTCTGAACTTGGGGAGGTGATTCTGCCTCTTTCAATCTGTCCAAACACCTTCCTAGAAGTTGGAGGAGAAGAAAAGTCCAAAACAAGAAAAGAAAGGCTGGTTGCAGCATTGCTTGGTGGGTTATGGAGCTGATGCCCCACACAGCTGTGTGTCTTTGGTGACTTTTGTGGTTTGTGCTGGAAACAGACTATGTGACTACCTGATCCTCAATCCTCAGAGGTGAGAGGTCCTAAAGGGACAAAGAGAAGTATAAGGACTGAACCGCACACTTCCAAAGTGGGGAGGCTCAAAAGCTATCACCATACGATGTCTGTCTGGAGGAACATGATTTTATAGTTACAAATAACTGCAGGGTGCTGGCTGTGGGGGAGCTTATTTATCACATGTAAGGGAAGGAAAATTGGTGCCCCACAAGTGACATGGGAGACATGGGGCTAAATGGTGTCCCCAAGGCCTATCACTGAGTCCAGGGAATGATGATCTAATTCTCAGAAAAGGTTGGTAATGGGCGGATTGTTGAGACCCTAGCACTCTCTAAGCCCTGATCTTCCCAACACCACCCAAGTGTGCTCACCTAAAGACATTTCCCACCAGGGACCACAGAGGGCTCTCTTTTGGCTGGAAGAAGAGTCCTGGCCTGCAATGTGGCATTAGTGGCTTTTCTGTATGGAGATAATCTGCTTTCAAGGCCCACAAGTTGTTGACACCAAGAGCCAGTATGACCCCTATAACCTATCTGCATCTCTACTCCACGATGGGTAAAGTGAAATAGCATTTCTGTTTCCCAAGGGAAGCTCCTGGGACATGGAGAGAGCTCAAGAATATTAAAAATGGTGGTGAGCCACTTTGAGCTCCTTCCTGCAGAGAGTGTTCTGAAAGGTACAGGGCAGCAGGGGCAATGGGTGATGTGAGGGGTGTAGTCTTCCTTTTACCCCTCTCTTCTCTCAGGAGAAAGCAGTACCTCAGTATCCTCCAGCCATGTAGGCAGCCTCCTTTGCCCACAGGTATATTCACCATAGTTGGTTGTCAATGTGTCCCAGGCTTGGTTATCAAGGTTCCTGGACAACCAGAGTCAGTAACACCTGGGGATGAGTTAAATTCAAATTCTCAGTCTCCCTTCATCCTCATGAATCAGAGACTCAGGGGTGAGTCCTGTAGAGAAGGGTTTTCAGTTCCCCAGGTGACTTTGGCAATCCCTCCTTCGCAGTCAGCTACTATTAGCCCTCTTGGCAAGTCAACCCCAGGAGGAGGGAAGCAGTGAGGACAGAACCCCAGAGAGGCTGGAAAAGAAAGTGGCACACTTAGCTTGTCCATAATTCAGGATGAACCCCTCTGCGGGAGAAGTTTGCTTGTTTCATGAACCTTTGTGCTAAAGGAATTGATGGATGATTGAAAGGGCAGTGGCAGAAAAGATGGGCCAGCCATGTCAAGTGACAAGATATCTCAGTGTTCAGAAGAGTAAATTATCTGGAGGAGCAGGCAGGAATAACCTACAGCCCTCTCAGCTCAACCTTGTGCTAGCGGCAACAGCAGCCTGTGGATCCCACTCTTCTTTGTTGGCCTGAGAGTGTTAAGGCATCTTATTTATCATGTGTTTATTTTTCTCATTCCCAAGCAGCCAAGTGCTATGGCTAAGAGCCAGATCTCTGAGGTTGGGCAGATTTAGATACAAGTCCCATACATCTGTTAGTCTTTCAGATAGGTAACCCAGGATGCTAGACTGGCTTAGCACATGGACAGCTCTCTGGGTTCTGTGCAAGGGAGAAACTGCTCAATGCCTCTGCTTCTTTGCCTGTGAATGGGAATGATTACAGTAGCCCCTGCTTAGGTTGCACTGAAGAACAAAGACGTTCATTCAGCAGTATACTGGGACAAATAAAACACTTCATTGCTTTGGCTCTTGTTATGGTTTTGGGGTGCAGAGATGAGGGAGAATTCAGGAGTTCCAGGTCAGTAGTCATTCTTAGTCCAGGTAGAAAATTCTAACAGGTAGTTCCAGGGTAGGTTAGGGTAGTGACTATGGACCAGCAAACCAGAGTTCAGGTGCTGGTACAATTACTTGTAAGCTGTGACCTTAGACAAGCTATTTCACTTGCTTCTCCCTCAAAAGTTATGATGGAGGTGTCGGGAGAGATGGCTTGGTGGTTAAGGGCTCTTGTTGCACTCCCACATCTCATGTCTCAAAGCCACCTGGGTGGGACCTGATGGCCTTTTATGGCCTCTATGGCACACAAAAACAAACCTAATGAAAACAAATCTTATTTAAGAAAAGTTTTGATGAGGGGCTGGAGAATTACTCTAATGGAAAAAGCCCTAGCTATACAAGAACCCATTTTAAAAAACCAGACATGATGTACATGACTATAACCCCAGAGCATGGGGGAGGCAGCGACAAGGCAGACTGATCCTGAGCTTGCTGAGCAGTCCACCCCCAGCTGAAATGGTGGGCTCCCTGTTCAGCGAGCCATCTAGCTTCCACATGCACACACACAACTGTGCACACAGATCATATATACATGCACATTGACATCTCCCATCACATGCCATGCATTCTTTCTCTTACATGCATGCATGTGTGTAAAACACACACACACACACACACACGAGAGAGAGAGAGAGAAAGAGAGAGAGAGAGAGAGAGAGAGAGAGAGAGAGAGAGAGAGAGAGAGAAAGAGAGAGTTTCTTGGAGAGTTATTGTTTGGGGCTATAGCAATCATATGCATCCATCCACTGCCCAGGTTCTGATCCTGCTGGTTCTGTCCTTGTTCCAGCCTGTGGTAGCGGTCATAAGAAGACAATTTTTGAGTATCTTTTTTCCCCCTGTATAAATGTGGGAATTCCTGCTAAGGTTAGAGAGCAGCCAACATGTCTCCCTGTTCCAAAATTCATGTGCTTACTGCATGTGTGTATGCTGCCTGGCTCTAGCAAAGGACTTGTGATTTATGCTCAAAATCGTAGGCTGACTTTGAGATTCACAGGGTTCAAACACTTGGCCAAAATATTTGGCTGCTGGAAAAATATTCTCTGATAAATGAGAGCCTGCTGAGAAATATAAAGTAGGTGGATACTGTTGATTAATCTGGCTCGTCTTTCTTTTCATGCTCTGAAGCCTATGCACAAAACCCCATTTCCTCTATTATCCCCCAAGCCATATCTTCCCCACAGTTGCACAGAACAGGAAACAAAAAATCCAGCCAGACAACAGTTGCTGAAAGTGAACCTTTCCTGATGGACTACACAGAAGCAACCCCTTGCCTGAAAATAGTGATAGACAAGTACCTACTAGTTCATATGGCTACAGTTCCTAAAAAGGGAGCTTGACCAAGGGTAGGACCACAGCAAGTGAATCAGCGAAGCAACTGATGAGCCAGCCAGTAAATGATTTGTTCTTATATTTCAGGGCCTGGTAGGCTTGTGACAGGAAGTGGTAGTGTGGGGCTGCTCCCTTCCAGAGGGATTGGCAACTTCATTATCACCTGAGAATTGGGGCAAATTCTCCGGGCTAGGGACATGGCTCGGTGGTAGAGGTCTTGTTCAGACTGCATCAGTGTGGAGATGGATATATGACTCAGCAGTAGAGGGTTTGCTTTAGATAGCACCAGGGCCATGGGGAACTTGGTTTGGTGGTAGAGAGCTTGCCTAGCATGTGTGAGGCCTTCCATCTTCAGCAACACACTACAATCTCTCAAGATGCAGGCAGACTTCATGAATCAGAAACTCTGGGTTAAGGACCTAGTCCTCATGTGATTTCACTTCACTTTGAAATAACTTGGGCTCTAAAAAAGGCAAGAGTTACAAAACCGCTGCAAAGTACTCCCTCTTCTCTTCACTGGGCCTCCACAGATGTCACTGTCTCCATCCAGCCACAACCTGGGTCTCAGAACCAGGATATTGGTTTAGCAGCATTATCTAATTTATAGACTGTTGACAGGTGGTCAGAGGCCCCATCAGTGCCCGTGTTTTGTAGGATCACACCTAGGATTAGATATCAAATTTAGTTTCCACACTATAACCTCAGTTCCTTTGATGCTGTGATAGGCCCTCAGTGATCTCTAAAGAAAAGTCTCTAGTTGTTACAAGAGTTTTTCTTATCTATTTCTCATGATTAAATTCCAGTTTTTCCACTTTCCTTTTCTTTATTCCTGTCTACCCCCCACACACATGGAAGTATTTCTCCACCTCTTTTGGTCCATCCAGTTGAAGAATGTAGGATGTTGACACTGGGCTTATCAGTGGTGAGGTCAACTTTATCGCTTGGTCAACATGATGTTTGCCAAAGTCCTCCACTGCACAGTGCCTTATTTCTACCCTTAGTTTATCAGAATAATGATTTGAAAGGACACAAATAGCTTGTTTCTCATCTCTTCACTACAACAATTTTTAACATTCATTGATGATTCATGCCTTAGCATTTATTACTATAGATTTGGCAAATGATGGTGGTTTCTGCTTCCAACCTTCCATTTATTAGCTGGAATTCTACTGTGAGAAGAGATTCCCCCCATTCATTTGTTCAATTACACATTGTTATATATAAAGCACTTGTGGGTGTTTTTTTGCGATTCCTGTATTTGTTGTCTGGGTTTGTAATAGCAAAGTGGTATAGGCTGTGTTTCTTAAATAGCAAAAAAAGGTCCACTTTATTACAGTTCTGGAGATTGGGAATCTGACAGCAACTGTTGTCAGGCTTGCATTCTTCCAAGGCCTCTCTCCTTAGCTTGTAGGTGTGTCTTTTCGTGCATCTTTACTAAGCCTCCCCTCTGAGCACATCTGTGCTCTAATTTTTCTTATATGGACCCCAAATGGCCTCATTTTCACTTATGTACCTCATCTCCAAATACAGTAACATCCTCAAGTACTGGAGTTACAACTTAGTCATATGTGTTGTGAGGCAACATGATGCCGGTCCATACCACACCATGTTAGCAAACATTTCACCCATGCATCACTGCCCACTTTCTCTTCCCAGGACCATATATCTTCAAGCACTTTGTTTCTGGTGAAGCACATCTTTTATTTTCCTGTCCCATATATGAAATTGTCCATTCCTATAAGAAATTCTCATTCCTTTTAGTGGAGGGTGGTGCCCAGTCACCTCCCTGGTGATTCGTTCTATTTTGTGCTCAAGGTATGAGCAGTGCTGGTAGAGTGCTTAAGAGCCTAGTCTTAGATTAGAATCAACTCCAATCTCTTTCTAGATGAATGGTACTCAATTAGTTAATCTCTACAACTCGGGTATTCTTCATAAGGCTTGAAGGACAGTAACACCGGAAGCACTGAACACAGGCCCTGGCTCATAATTAATGCCCAGTTGAGGGTTAGCTTTCATTACTGGGGGGAGCCATTTCTCTGAGTCAAAGTGCATATAACACATGTCCACATGGATGATAAGATTCTGGTGGCTGTTGCGGGGTGGTCTCCCCAAGCTTCTTAGTGACCACATATTGAGGGAAGGAAATTTAGTGTTAAAGCTGGAGCTGCTCCCTAGTGCCATCTCCAGTGTTCTAGTACCTGAAGGGAGGGACAGCTGTGGGCAGGGAAGTGGCTAGGGTTTCAGCTCTCTGCCTCACACTGAAACTAGCTTGGTTGTTAGCTTGCAGGTGGCCTTCCTTCATTGAAGCCACCAGCTGCATCTGTAGAGCCTCCATTTGGAGGAATATTCTGAAGAGGTTGTGCAGTGGCTGGAAAGGGTGATTTAGGAAGGATTTCTAAGGTGTCCCTTGCTGTGGGAATGGGAATTGTAAGTGGGAGAGGTCATAGCTAGAAGGCTATCCTATACTACAACTGATTTTTTTTGTTATTATTATATTTGTTAATTACCTCTTTGTTCTTTTTCCCTCCTTCAGAAAGCACAGATTTCTTTGACTTTGGTAAGTCTGCTTGGATTTGAAACTCTTTTTGTCCTGATAGTTTGGGGCCTGTGAAATTCAGATTGCCCTTTGCCTAGTTAATGTTTCCAGCCCCTTGGCAGTTGAAGGTGTTGGCATATCTTGAAGTTCTAGGCCCACTTTTCCTGGGTAGTTTCCCTGGATCATAGTTTTTCCTAGAGGACTACCAACTTCCTCATTTTGTACTAGGGATTAAATACAGGGTTAGGCAGTATTCTAAAGCTGAACTCTATCCCACTTTGCCCCACTCTGGGCATTTTTGTAAGGTATGCCAATCTCTCTACCTGGCTGAAAAGAGGCTGCAGAAGGTGACCAATAGATTTCAGTGCCTAGGTAGACCCCCACTGGTCACCCCTCAGAGAAAACGTAAAGCCTGTAAACTTGCTCATGTTTCTCACCCGCCTTAAGAGATCAAGCATTTGGCTAGAACCTACCTTGGGTAGAAGTGTTTCTCAGGAGCTCACATGTCCTTGAATGGCATCATTGAAGTCCAGTTTATAATAGAGTTGAGGAGAACTCTGGACAATCTTTGAAGGAGTTGGGGTTTTTCTTTCTTCTTGATTACTCCCCCATGATAGGAGCCGTAGCAGCCACTGCCATTTCTGTTCAATTGGGCCTGAAATTGGACAGAAATGGTAGAACAACCCTATTTAGGAATAGCCTGGCCATTTGGCACAAGTGTAAATGCCAACTGTGACTCCTTCACTTGTTCTTGGTCATGAAAAGCATCGTATAATCCCACAGGTGTCCCTTAAGAGAATCAGAGCTGGGACCGTTTCTTACATGATGTGATGGCAGATAGAGGATGACCCCCAATGGTGTTTTCTGGTCCATTGAATGTTGTTCAATTCTAATTGCCATTGTGTTCTGAAATCAGTGTTAGGGGGAATGGCTAGAGGACTGTTCATTAAGATGTGAGTCTGGCTTTCACTGAAGAGTTAGAGTGAAAGAAGGAAGGGATGAGACAGGAAGGGGAAAATGGAAGAGGTACCCTAAACAAGGAGTAACAATGTCAGTGATGGCTGCTGCCACTGTTAAAATCTAATCACCATGTTAGTTAGGATTCCAAGCCATTTTCATCGTTCCTGTCATGCAATTCAGGGTGGTGTGTTCTCTGGGCCGGGATTAGGAGGTCTGCATTCTTTTGAGATGTTTTGGTAGCACTGAAACATGGAGGGCAGGTAGCTATCCTGGGACTCCCTCAGTCCCCGAGGGTGACTGCTCAGCTAGGAGGGTGGCTCTAGGGACCTGCCTCCCAGGACAGGGGCAGGGTGGTAAGCTAACTGCCATCTTCTCCTTTGTATTTCTTTTCAGAGTCTGATACGAGCCCGACACCCCCTATCACTGTGACCCACAAACCAGAGGAAGACACTTTTGGGGTGAGTTTCTTCCTGATTAAGAGGAAAATACTGAAGGGTAGAACCCTCTTCAGGCTTCAATCCAGGTGCTAACTTTCCCACATAAGTCTCCTACTTGGAGCCTCAGTACCAGTGGTAGAAAGAAAAGCACAGTGAGGATAATTTCCTTTGAGGTGGTTTGAACTGTTCTTGTTTGATGGGGGTGCCTCATTGTTTGAAGAGGCCTTTAAGGACCAGCTCAAAGCCCTAGGGCTTGGAAGAGAACAGTTTGAAATTCCCAGTCTGTTGTGAGCCGGGCCCAGCAGGCTTGCAAGGCCTACTGACTGGGCAAACCTTCTACACCACCTCAAATTACTCAGAGAATCTCTTTGGATACGGTTTTCCCGTGTGTGTCTCAAGTCTGAGGTTTTCCTGGGGAGAAGAAGAAAGGGTCTGTTGTTTCCAAAACTCCTAGACCTCTCTGAGTAGAAATACTACATGAGGATTTCAGTGTAAAAGATACCCAATTTCTTGCTAATTAAAACCCTAGACAGAAGTTTCTTTCAGCTTTCTGCTGTACTCATAGAATAGTCTCCAGGTAAGAAGGGCTCAAGTATTGAATCAGGGAACCTCCCATAACCAAGCTTATTCATTTACTTTTTAAGAAAAGTCTTAAAGTTCTCTAGAGTCTCATACCACTTCTAAGAGTTCCCTCCAGAGTTGCCCAATATTTTGCTATTTGCCATGGCATTATTCTATGCATTGTTGCTCCTGGTTACCTGTGGCTTTAGATGTCAAGTTGCAAAGAACCTCAGTAGCAAATGTTTTTGGGGACCCTATTCTGCTGAAACTGTTTCTCTTGGGCACATGCATTACTTTAGAGGCTCAGAGGCTTCCTTCGCTGCTCCTGACCATCTCTGTTTGATTCCTAATAGGTATCCATAGCAGTCGGACTTACTGCCTTTACCTGTGTGCTCTAGTGGTTCTCTTTATCATGATCAACAAGTACATTACACGGTCAGAAGATTTGGAATGAAGGTGCAGGTGGCACATTTTAGTTCCAAAAGTTCCGTAGTGGAAACATAGCTCCTTTTCATCAAGATGCTGTTTTCACTTCTATCTTCTCTGAAATTGTCTCTGGTCATTGTATCTCCAGGAGTCCCGGTGGAGATCACTCTCTGTACCCTGTTCTGGGTAATTATGGGCTGAAGACGTGTTAGGATCTATGGGAACCAAATAGGGATGCTGAAAACTGGTTGCTCAAATGGACTTGGTGATGAGGACAGTTTGAGCAGGAAGTTGGCTATGAGGCAAATGGCAATTTCTTTTCACTAGTGGAAATCTAAGGGACACCACATTTGAGAAATCTTTTGTCCTGTACCTATCTTTAGAATCATATTGTGACTTAGCACAGTGAGATGCAGGGCAGTGAACTCTGGTATTGAAAAGCTGCCTGTGCTGTTGGAGCTTAGCCATAATTCTCACAGAGACGGGAATGGATGCCAAAACAACACAGTTTGTAAATCTGCTAGCCAGCTTCCACGTATAGAGTATGGGACCCCAATATGGTAGATGTGGAGTGCCTTGATGTAGTGTTCTGCCAAAGCTCCTGTGAGACGTCTGGCATGAAAGGAGTTAACAGGCGAATTGGTATCCACCTGCATAGTCTCAAGTGGATGTCGCCAAATGATTTGAAAGAAACTGGGTACTACTGATATCAAAATTGAAACCACATTTTCAAGATGTCTTCCCAGCTGGAGCTGCCACTGCATGGCTGATGTTGGCAGAGGTGGGCAGGGAGAGAGAATCTAAAGGTTACCTAAGCTAACATTCATGCTGATGTTTACTGGTGACATTATGAAATCCAGATAAAGGAACTCCTAAGGCTTTAATACTAGAAGCTAGATTTCTGTGGCAAAGTGCTGGCCTTGGGGCTCATGAGTTAAAACAGAGAACATGAGTGACATTCACAGGAACAGCATTCATGGATTCAAGTGCAAAAGGAAATGTTTGAGTGGCTGTACTTGGTGAAGGAGCTAGATTTAATTATATTCTCAAGATTCTAGGTCTCCCTTAAAATTAGGAGCGCTAGCATATAGAGCTGCCCAGAGATGACTAAAGGTTGAAATGTGGGGCCAGAGGAGACTGGTGGTCCTGGAGTCTTCTGCCTCTGAACTCCTTGCTTTTGATGAGTTGGGTTATGTCATGGATGAAGGCAAGCCAGTTTTTTTTTCCTTCTCTGCCTTCCTCTCTTCATCCTCTCATTTCCTAACTTTTCTTCCCTCCTCTCCTCTTGTTCCTCCCTACCCTTACCTCCTCCTCATCTCCTTCCTTTCTTCCTATTTTGTGGCATTCAGGATTGAACTTTAGAGGTCTCATGGAATGGTTCTACCTTTGAATTATACATCCGGTGTTTATGATAATTTGAATATTTGACCAGAGAAATACTATGCTGGTAATTTCCAAAGAGGAAATAGGTTTTTTAATGGCTCAAATAAGTCCAGACTACTCTCAGGCACTTTGATTGAAGACACTTTTTCTGCCAGCACTTACCATTTTGTCAAATGAGAGCTCCCCAGGTTTTAGATGGGATGGCTGCTGAGTGACTCAAAGTCTTCTGTCTTGGGTAATCCTTGGGCCCTTGGCTATGAGCACTGATACTATATATTTTTTCTGCAACCCTTTTCCTTCTTCTCCACAGAAAACATTAGGATGTGGACTGAAAGGAAGAATAGGGCATTGTTGTTCTTCACCCAAGGAGGCATACCAGCAGCTGAGACCCTGAAACAGGCTTGGCAGTGATGTGAAAGCAGATTTTTCCTATTAATTGTCACCCTGTTTCTGAAACAGTGTGTCCCATGTCGGATGGTTAGGCAGCCATTCCAGAGCGGTGCCTCCTCTCAGCTGTCCTTGCCATCTCCCAGCCCCTGATCTCCTTTTCCAGGATGAGCTGTCGTATTTAGTCTTGTGTGTCAAGGAGGATGTGTCCTCACAGGTGGAAATAAAACATCTCCTTTTTCTAAAATAGGCAACTTCGCAGCTAGAGGCAAATGGAGAGAAATGGTGTGTTCAGGACTGGTACACTTTAGAATTAATCTTGCATCTCTCTGATCTTTATCACATTTTTAATTGTCAATGAGCGTTACACTTAATTTTAATTGCTACACAAGCAGATCACTAACAAAGGATTTTTTTTTTTTATTACTGTTTTGAAGTTCATCATGGTTGGAGGCTCTGACTTAGAATTCATGGGGGTGAGAACAGATGGCAGGGGCCCCTTACCTCTCAGTTCACTGTGATGGAGATATTAATTCCCTCTTTTTAGACCTTCAGTTCATGGGATGATGTCACTCATATTCTAAGTGGGTTATTCTTCCTCAGTTCTTTCTGAAACATATTTACTGACACATCAAGGGTGGCCTCAATCTCTTGGGTGATTCTAAAGCCAGTCAAGTTTGTATCAGAGAGCTATGCCACTGAACAGCCATAGTCCCAGGAGGAAGTGACAGCATGCATTTCTGAAGGCTCCCACATCTCTTTACATACACTCTCTTTTCAGGCTTGAAATTACAATTCTGGAAATTGGGAATCCATATTTTCTCATTGACTTACATCGGTTCCCTTACTTTCTCAGAGCCTCTCTATTTTCTTTAGTGTAAGTTAAAAATACTTTACTTAGCTTTAGGGTTGCGGAGTGCTGTGATATGTGGGTAATTGGCTGAGTTAGTTAGCTTCCCTCTGTTTTGACAAAATATTTTAGGAGAATCAACATATTGGAGGAAAAGTTACTTTGGACTCATGGTTTTGAGGATTTTAATTCCTGATGCTCAGTCATCATTGTGATGAGAGCATGGTACTCACCTCACAGTGGCATGGAAGCCAAAAAGACAGAAGGAGACTGAGATCCCAATATCTACTTCAAGTCATATTGTTGACCTAGCTTCCTCCTTTTTAGGCTTGACCCCATCAAGGTTCTGCCACTTACCATTAGTGCCAGAGGCTGGTGTCCAAGCGTATAGTACACTACCTTTAAGGACATTGGGATATACATCCTAGGGACAGCATTAGGAAGGGTTGCCATGTCTTTCATTTCCCTCCTATTTCTTTTATTAATGTATTAGCCTTCCTACAACCCCCTTTAATGTCCTTTCGGAAATATAGCCCCCGACTCTTTGTTTCAGATAGTATGCGGTAGTAAAAGTGTCCTACTTACACACTGCCTACAGTACACTCTCATTTTTCCTCACATTTCATCTGTCTGTCCTCCTAGACTGGACGACATGGCAGAACCCGCAATCACTCAGCCCACATCCAAGAAACCATGACAGACTGATGCTTGAACTTAGAAATGAGCAGCATCCATTTTATGCATTTCATTTGCTTAATTTTTTTTGAAGGTCTTCTGTGTAGCCCAGTCTAGACTCTAATTTGCTATGTAACCCAGACAGTCTTTGAATCCATACTTTTCTCCTTCTAGCCTCTGGGTTCTGTAATCTATCAGGCCTTGTTTATTTTAGTTTGAATAATGAAAAAACAGTTTATTAACTCTGTAAAGGGCTAGTCTAGACTAATTTAGAAGTCTGAGGACTTTTCAAGTGGGAGAAAAGTGGAAGCTTCTCACGCACAACTCCCTGCCATCTGTGCCCCGAGGGCAACAGGCAATAGCACACAATTGATACTGGAGAAGCAATTGAAATGATCTCCATTACCTTCTGAGAAATAAGATGTACAGACAAATGCACAGACAAATGGATGAAACCACACACATTCCTACTATTTAAACTATTTAGGATTTTATTTTATATTTCATTGAGTGCTTTATTCTTAGGACAGATTAGAAATGGCAGATATGTGAACACCATGTCCACTACCACCTCTGACCCTGTTCCCACCCTTCTCATGGGTGGCCCTATTGGCCTAGGCCCAGCACCCACCTGCCAATACTCTCATCCCAGTCTTCCCTGTGTATGTTATCTTTTGCCCCGTTGCTGCTATTTTTTAAATACCAACCCTTCTGCTAAGGGCCAATTCCCCAAAAAATTCC